TATTCTATATTTATAAGATGTATCCACCATTTATTTTTTGTTTATTTATTCACTTATCATTTGTCTGTGCCGTATCAATAAAATCAATATTTATATTTGGAAATATATACAGTGTATATATTTAATAAATATGAAACGGTTTTAAAGATTATAGAGAACTTGACTTTAAACCTTACATTTTAACAGTTTTATCAATTTTAATATTTTAACTAATTATTAAACAATTACACTTGAACATATACTTAGCTTATAAAGCTCAAGATAATACATTATTCATTATTTACTAGAAAAATAAATAATTCAATAGGCGTACGATAAGTTTTCCGTGTATCTGTACTAAGAGATTCCTTTAAAACGGTAAGCAAATTTTTGATTTGAACAATCAATTTTCTCGGATCAATTGTACCGAGTAAAAAGTTAATGCATTGATGCTATAAGTCGACAATAAAAATTATACGTACATATATTTATATATAGTATATAAGTATAAATCAGCAAAGGAAAAGGTCGGATCACACTTGACAATAGTGCAAATTATATCAAGTTACAACAAAACAAAATACTATTCATGGTATTTTAAACATTGCAAATATCATGTTTTTAAATGATTGATATTAAAATATATAAGAAGAATAAAAATTTCAATTTCCATGAAAAATTCTAAATACTGAAGGTACGATTATATTATTATTTATTAAACTAATATATAGTATAGTATACAATACTTACAACACTAATAGTTTTAAAAATTTGGATACAAATTTAAAAATTAAAACGGTTTACTAATAATATTAATTAAATTTAACATTGATTTATGAACGTTGAAATAGAATTAACATTCGTAAAAACGTTATCATATAATATGCATATTATATCAAGAAAATCGTTTTCAAATTCTACGTGTACCTGTATATACCTATATATATATATATATTTAGCCATCTTACTTTTGTGAAGATATTTTATATTTGTATTCAAACTTTAAATTCCAAATAACACAACTTGTAGTGATTTTCTCAAATCCTTTACGTTACGTAACTATAATATGTTCATACAAATGTTCTTTCTGGATTTATTTAACCAAAAAACAAAACGTGCGCTTTTAAACTTACTCTTGTTACTCCCAATACAAACAGTATGTTGCTCTGTCTTAATAATATTAAACTACGCGGGACAACTTGAAAAATATATGAGCAATATACTCCACGAAGATAGTATATATAATATTATATTATGTAAAATATTGATTCGATTTCGTATTTATTCATCGTAAAAATTACGAACGCGTTATTTTAAATTTCTCTTGAGAATTATTAACATTTTTACAATAATTCGACTTAATATTATTATTTAAAAAATAATTTTTTCCACTTAAGTTCAGTACGCGTAAAATGTTGTATTTAAGTATTGAAAACCAATAATTATTTCAATTGACATGCCTACTTTCTTACCCAGTCGTTTCGTTCATGTTCTTGCGCATTGATTTTGAAGTGAATTAGCTATGGCAAGTAACTCTTTGGCTCAGGCTCTGTCTTAATTGACTAAAAACTATTTTAAAGGATAAATTATTTATGTTACGAAGAAAGTCGCGCAGAAACGAGCGTGTTATTAAGTATACATTATTTACATTTCGCTGCGAAATATGCAATTTAATAAAGTTTCGCAACAGGTTTATATACCGCTATATAAACATGTCCATAAATAACAGTAGATGTCACGCTAAATAATTAAACATTTATTGCAGTAACGAAATTTGTTACGTATTTGGTGAATTGACATTTTATATTTCCGAAAACGGGATCACACAGGGCTCGACCACCTGAACCCAGCGCATTCGACAATATGTGAATTATTATAGCATCAACAACAAATGTTTTAAAAAAAACACACAAACTGCCAATGTATGAACGTTAAACAATGATAATATGTACAGCCAAAAACTCTATAATGGCATTGATATGGGGTACAAATTAAAAAATTGTTGTTGAGTTTGAAATAATTAAATAGATAAAATGATAACCAAGGCTCTGATGTTTATGAATTGCATATAATTTTCCATTGATCATATTCAATTCATGTTCTACTGTATCAAGAAATACTATTCTAATTTAATTTTTTATTTTTATATTGCATATTTTATGGTTTTATATTTTTAAATACATATTTTTGGGATTTAAAAAAGGATATGAAGAATAGAAATACATATTTCAGTACATTTTCGAATTTGTATATAAAATAATTTAAATCTATGATAATAATTGAACCGTATGATTGCGTTCTCCTAAATTATATTAAATTCAAGTTTGTTTAAGTTGAAAAACTGTTGTATCACAGTATAAGGCTCATATTATAAATTAGAATATAATGTTAAAAAAATATAAAATATAAAAATTACAACTAATAAATATTAAGTACTTTAATTTTTAATACTAAAGGTAACATTTATTTTACTCTGCATATTTTAATGTTTTTTTAGCTAAAATGCATATTTTGAATGCAAATTTAATAATTTTTAGTGCATAAATGCACATAAATTCTAGAAATTTTAAGTGAATAAAAATCCGAACATTACTTATTGTAATATAACAAGAGAACAACTATATTTATAACGTGAACAATAAAAGAAAAAAATAAATTACATTATTGATATGTTTGTATGATTCACCAAAGGCTCATAAAGTTATACTTCCGCTCACCTAAAAATTACTTTATGGTACAGTTAATTTAATTTTGTTTTTTATGAGTACGGATAATCGCCCAAATTAAAAACATAACTCAAAACGTTACACTTTTGACGTAAAAACCATCTGCGAATTCGTTCTATTCATTTTCACGGCTTGAGAAAATGTTCTTAATTAAAAAGTCGACGGCTTAAAGCACAATTTGCTAGCCAGCAAAACGCGAGAGAAAACTTTTTTCCAAAACCCGGGATTTGAGCACAAAGCGTATACTGATCGGTGGAGTGTACAACAAAAACGCTCGTCATAGGCGTCGCACGAGCATCGGAAAAACTGACATGGCCAAACGTCCGTTGGTAATATTTAAATATCACCGGTCAACTGCACTCTCGACCTCCTTTCATATAACTGTCACGATGTCATGGTTGGCCGTCGAGTACACATCCAATACGTAACCTAAGTTTTTTCCGAAAGTTATCGTGTGTCAGCCTAACTCGAGACTCAAGACTGCTGTACATAGTGTTGTACAATTACCATTAATTTATTTTTAGATAACATACTTGAGTTAATTATTGGTAATATGCCTTTTTAAAAGCAATATCGGGAAATGTATTTTTTAACACCTAAATACATAATTGAATAAAAAAAGTAATATTAACTATTTATTTATTTTTTCTTTATTCTATCTTTTAGAAAAACTATTAGGCTCAACAATTATAATATTAACTATAAATTATTATTTATTATTAAAACATTAAAATACCTAAATGGCTACACTGGACTCTAAACTTTTTTTTTTTAAAGAAAATTTACTCTTTATTTCTATTAAATATTATTTCTCCTCATATAGAGCAATCAAATATTTTCCATATAAATATAACCATATGTCAATATAGGTATTTATTACATTTTATAAATGCTAAGCAAAAGTACAAAAGTCAATAATATAATTTTACCAGGAAATAGAAAATAAAAAATAAAAAAACATATATGATATTAATTTAAGTTTATATATAAGTTTTTGATTTAAAAAATAATAAGGTGTCAGACGAATAAAAACGATGTGTCGAATTATAATGTTTATAACATATATTTGTTATAAGCTATAATTTATATGTTAATAATTTTCTTAATCAGTAATCAGTTATCACTAACCAGTAATTTATTACTTATCGCTAATCAGTATGACTACTCAGAATTCATAATATATTTATTATAAATAAGATGACTAATAAAATTTAAAAAAAATTAAATACTCGTAAAGTGGTAAAGTAATTTATATTTATTACTTTACCGATAAATTGCTTACTTTATAATACTTTACCAATGTAATATAACCGACTTACATCGCTAGCTGTGCGTAATAATTTCAAACCATGACGGAACATTTTTACTAATTTTTTTCAAGTGAATCTATACATTTACGTTCATATTCGAAATTTACATTAGACTCAAAAATAATCCATGATTTAAAAATTAATACGCCAAATTCATAAAATAAACGAAAAATAAACGTACAAAAGATGTAATAAAGGTTTTTGTTTAAGTAGATATTATTTTAATCAGAGTAATTATATTTTATACAAAAAAAATTATTAACCCAATAATCTGTGAAAACGCAGAAAAAGTTTCCCGTCAACCAATTACATTGTTTTCAATGTTCAAAAAAGGGAACGCATTTATACAAATAATTAATATGTTTTCCATTTTTTCAAAACAAACGCATTTGTCACTTATTGTCTATAAACTCAATTCGTTGCCATCGCTGAGAAAATAATTCATTATTCGATCGAATGCTTCTTTCCAAACGGTAGTGATATTAATTCGCTATGTAGGTTTCTGTCTTATCTACTTATAACATTCATGTTCTAGTGAAATATAATTTTTTTACCTTCTTTATAAGGTATATTATTCCTTATAGGCTTTTTTTTTTCTCTTATGGCGGTTCGAGTTTATTTTAACATAGAAATCAGAAATGAATCATTCAAAGTATTCCCAAATTTTAGGAGAAAAATCAAAAACACACTAATTGACTGAGAAAGTTAGCCTCTAAAATATAAAATATACGTATATATATACGCATATAATAATATGTATATAGCCAGTTTAACAACAACAATATTCGCTATGAACGTTTACGTGGAAGCTGAAAATAAAATAAAAAACTTTCAACGATAAAATCCGTCGCCTGGGAAAAAGTCATTATATTTTAAGCGTGTTCGACCTCAATTAGTACACTAGTGAAAACACTCATCCGACATTTCGCAAGACCACCTATTATGCATTCGTGATTTTTTTAATATATTTTTTTTTTTTTCGCAGAAAAATTCAATTCTCAACAGCAGAAGAAACAGGTATCTGATTTTTTGGTCAGGCCGTTTTTCGATACATCCGTATCGTCCAACATCACCACGCAGCTGGGTGGCCACGCTTACATGCCGTGCAGAGTCAAACAGCTTGGCAACAAGTCGGTAAGTACGGTTTGCGGTTAGATTGCGCGTCACTTGCTTTTACAGTGCCAACGACTGAAGGGCCAAACTAATAATAACGTTATTCATATGAGACCAGCTCTCGAGTTCACATATTATTTCATCACTATCCTAAATACTTTCTACAGAGACTTCTAAAACAAAAACCATTGGACATATCGGACGAAATTCATTGACGATTCCTCTTGACAAAATCGATGTAACACCGGAGGGTGATTGGAGCGTAAAAGAGAATCGATATGACTTTCTAGTTTGAAAAACGATTCGAATGAACTGTTTAAAAAAAAATCACGAGAGGCGATAATAATTATTCGAGTAGGTACACGCGCATTCGACCGACGGCAAACATCAGACGTGTTTGCGCACGCAATACGATTTTATTGATACAATGAAAGCAGTATGAGACGGGAAAGATATGAAATGCTGTCGATGACGTTGGCAATTTTCTATTTACGATCGGTCTGTCGCCGGGCTGTGGGCCCCGAGAAGAATCGTAAAAACACACGCGACCGTACGGAGCTTAGCCGTCCGCTGTAAATACGAGATTGCACTACTGCGGCGGTAGAGATGTCGACCGACAAAAACAATACACACACACACGTGTATATAATGATAACAATAATAATAATAATAATAATACTAACGACGACGTCGAAGACGAGTGAAAAAGTTTGTTTTTCCCGCAGCGAACAGTTCTTCTCTTCTCGCCACGTCCGTTCATGCCGTCAATACATATAGATATAAACACCTTGGAGAAGCCTTTCTCTAATGTGTGTTGCACGCTGCCGTCTATACACGTCTCCTATTTATATACTACACATATATATATATATTCGTTCGGGGTGTACGTAGTGGTAGTTTTTACACGATAGTTATTTAATCAACGACCCTCCGTCCTCGGGGCACTAAATAAAATTACCGTTTCTTCCTGCGCCGTGCACTGCCATCGTGCGGACCCGAATTGATGGTTCAGAAATACGCTTCTCCGTGTTATATATATATATATATATACCTATGTTAGGGGTCGGTGGCGGGTGTCTCCGGTCTAGCCAGACGACTGGTGAGCAGGATAGGGTCGGCAGGTCGTCGAGCCCGCGGGACGAGGACGACGTCGTAAAAACGAATCCGGCGGGACCGTTAAGTTTCCCGAAACAGTAACGCGGCCCATTTAAACTCGTGTTATTGTCGCAAAGAGCATGATGGGGTAAAAAAAAAAAACCCACCTTCATACTTTATTGTTATTTCTTCCCCCCCTCCCCGTGTCAGGCGTGAGAGGAGAATCCATTAACTCACAGTTACTGCCAAACGCCTACGTTTCTCGCGAACACTATATAACGCATCACGAAGAAAATTCCGTTAAAATACGCCTTAGATAATATTACCCAGCGTCGTACAGTGCACGGTTTTCGTCCCCCGAAGACGAATAGAAATGAAATTTGCCCCATTTTTTTTTTCTTAGTAAATTCTCTCGCCAAACATTCTATAACCGAAAAATATTGTACAAATAAGTTTCACGTCAAATTATTGTAAAAAAAACTTACATTTCGCGGTAGACAATAGCCCGTGCTCGTGATTCACTCAATATGCGCAACTGAGACGTCGGCACGCGTATTTAACTGGCAAATCGATTTTCCATGAAACTATTACACGTCAGCCCGAACTCAGGATCGTACCTGATGGTGAAAGGCCCACTTGAAACATTTTTCAGGCATTTTTAACGTATAGCTTGTTTATTTTCTGGGCGGCACACTTGGAACGCATCGACATTTTTCATCCCCTACCCAAATATACAATAGCTATTATTGCTGTTGTAGCTGAATCCCATGACAGTGTAGATGCAGTTTTCTCGACTGGCATAGTTATACCATCGCGACTAAACAATTTTACTTTTAATATAAAATCCACTAATATTTACCTTTCAAATATCAAAACATTGGCCGTGTAACCTAACCTTCTTTGAGTAATATACGAATACTAATTTTAGGTCATAATTCCGTAATGATATTTAGTAGAATATTAATCATACTTACTTGGTATAATAATATATAATAACTATCATTCGCATCACATGAGAAATGATGAACATTCGAGAACTTTTTTAAGGTGTATTAGAAATATCTAAAAAATGTCTAGGCTAATGTAAAAGTTTGAATACAATATTCCGCAATAACCTGCGCGCGTATGTAATAATTTTATGTCATCCTGCCATCCAACTATTTGTGCCGAACGGGACCTATTATTTATTGTACTCTAACCGCATTAAGTCGTAAATCTTCTTGTGTAGTATCAAATTACCACTCCATTTATTTACAGTTAGCACACAATGACCATTAAGAGCCTACACAATATAACGGTTCGAACAATGCAGTTGATCGATGAATACGTATAAACTATATATACGCATATACGTATGCGACAGTTGGCAAAATGAAAAGTAAATCTATAACCGAGTGATAAAACAATATTGTTGTTAATATAATAAAGACACTCGTCGAGCAAACGTTCGTTAAGAACGTTGAACTTGTTGGAACAAAAGAATGTTTATCCACAGAGGGATAATATTTCAATCATAGCATGCCATCGATTCCCACTGCGTCAAAATGCATCATTTCGCTGATTTACGTTGTTTGTTATAAGAATATATGCCACACACGTATTATTTTTGTTCATTTGTTTTTGAAGAATTCAATATTCGACACCGTTCTTCGTGTGTTTAGTTATATGAGTAAACAAAAAAAAAAAAAAAAAAAACCGTGAAATTATCATAATTGTTCATAGAATGCTAACGGTTCGCTTAAGTGCCCTAAAATTAATTTTAAAGCATATTCGGTTTTTTCATTGTTCATATTAATAAATTAGTCACTTCTCTCACTCCACCCGCATAACTCTGTTTCATACCGCGGTGGCATTCCGCCAGCGTAACTTTTTATCTTTACCTATACCCAAGTTTTAATTTCACATTTTGCTAACCCGAAAAAACCCTCTCTTGCGTAGCATGCCAAGTTTATTTCGGATTTCCCGGTCGTTTTATTATTAATTAAAAACAAGAACCGTTGTGGATTTCACACTAGACAAACAATAATATTTTCACTTGGTTTTATTCGTATTATGTATAGAATAGTTTGTCATAAATCTATTAATGAATGTTTGTGTCTTGCAGGTGTCATGGATCCGCCGACGGGACTCTCACATACTCACCATCGATTGGCTGTTATTTATCGCCGACGACCGTTTTCGGATATTCCTGGTCGAGCCCACGTGCACGTGGACGTTACAAATCAAATACGTGCAGCCCAGAGATGCGGGTATCTACGAATGTCAAATAAACACATCACCCAAAATGAGCCATTTGGTTCAGCTCAACGTAGTGGGTGAGTATCGCTAGTGAACGGTTATACAGTATGGAAAAAAAGGAATTAAAAATAATGAAAAAAAAATTCATAAAATATAAAATAATGAAGAAGTAGATAATAACTATAATATTCACGATCATAATTATACTATAAATAATTTATTCATATACCTATTCAAAACGGTGTGATAAAATTTTAACTGATCTTTGATAAAAAATATAAGAAATTCACAAAACATCGTGTATATTGTGTTCTACGAAGCTGCAAAATATATTTCACTATTAATATATATATATATATATATATATATATATATATATACAGGATATTTCACAAGGATTTGCTAACTTTAAGTGGTCTCATCACATCTTACTATTCAGTAAGTTCTCGAGGGATATAAAATGTGTTTTGCTATTTCACGCGATAAAACAAAATATCATGTTAAAAATATAATTCGTTAAAAATATATGTGTATGAGTAAACATGAAAAATTACAAATTTAATAAAACAATGAAGTTTATTTCAACTTATTAAATTAACTGGTTTCAATTTTTTCATTCAAATTACATACTTGACTCTGGATAAACTTACGTACCCAATAACTTCTCAGCTATTTCTGTTAAATTTAATTCCAATTTTCATGGATAATCAAATATTTTTGTTTATTTATTGTACATATATTATAATATTCATCCTTGGAATTATTATTATAGTGTGATAAAAATGTAAATGATATACTGTAATATTTATTTCTTACACCAACATTTTTTAAAAAAAATTATTTATATTTTTAAAAATAAAATTAATTGAACATTAAACAATTATTATATATTTTATATTAACTTAATTTAAAATATTAATAATCTTCAGAAAATTTCTATTAATTAAGTTAACCTAATTTTTTTCAATTAATCTTAATAAAAAAAAAATTATGAATTCATAACTCATTTAAAAATATCATTAAATTATTTATTAACGAAGAACTTCTATAATATTATTACACTAATTGTTAGCTAATATAAATTTTTTTAATAATACGTTATATGTTGAGAGTTCTGATCTGATCGATTGGAGCCAAAATTACGATCCCAAGTATTACTATACGCAATGCGATTATCGTAAAGTTTTATAACTTAATTATGATTTCACTTACTACTCACATCGTTTTGCAATGTGTCACGATTTTATTAGTTTTCGGTAGTAATTTTGAGATTGAGGCTTCGTCAAAATTGTCATTCGATCCGAAAATGTACTGAACCAAGAGGTAGTTAAAAGGTTAGAAGAGAATACCGGGATGGATTGTTTAGAAATTATTCAAAAAGTGAATAATTTAAATTGTAAACATTTGGTGAATATTTCACACAATAATTATTATTATAGAACGATGAAGGCCCCAGGGAAAATTATTTACCGTTTATCCCCTTCTCATCCGGCCTTTAATCCACCACTGAGAAACCAGTATTTGTTCGAACTGGAAATCGTCTCTTATATTTTGAACACATGGACCATACTTATTTATTTTTATTGGAATATTTTTAACAAAACTTCCACAAAAATATTTTTGATAATATCATTCTATCAGCTCATAATACCAAAATATGAATCTACAGGATGGAAATAAATATTTAATGATTTACGGAGGGTGACGGATTGTAACTTGTTTTGCACTAAAACCTTTTCACAAAGGGTATTCTTATCCAAATCTTACATTTAAGCAGCCATTTAAAATAAAAAGTTTTATTTTCATTAAGTTAATTTTAAGTTGCGTTGTGATCCATAACAATCACGCCTATCTAAATAATTATTTCTAGCACCACCATTTGTATCCTGGAGTCGCACTAAAAAATAAAAATGAAATTACATTATCAGACCAGAAATAAAATACCTGAGACACCATTGCCAATATTTTCTATGAAGTCACCCTTTATATGTAAACAAGAATGTCGATAAAATAATTTTGGATTCTCAAAAATCCTTGAAATTTTAATATAAAGTTCATTATATGTATTTATGACTATGACTGATTAAAGAAAAAAAATTGATTTAAATTAAAGAAGCATTTAAATTTTAAATTTTGACAAAACAATACAAATCACGAAAATTCAACACATTATTGTAGTAAAAAACTCGTTAATATTTCCAATTATTATTTAAAAACTATATTTTAAACTTCTCATATGATTTTCATTGTTGTCAAGAAAAAAATTACAGGAAAATCATTAAAATAAATTATAAACGTTACAAAATTAATTTTTGACGAATTCGGATATTTCAACTTTTTTCATTGAACTATTTTTGATTATTTAAATAGATAGAAGTAAGAATGTCGAGTTATTTTTATGAAACTTGTATTATTTATAGAATATAGTTCACATAAATGCTAGAATCCTCCTGCTAGAATGAAACTTAAAATATTAGAAGTTCGACCTACCTCATTAAGAAATATGATTCTTCTACTATATCAACTGTCTTTAGAAATATAAACTGAAACTTATCGTTCAGAATTGCTTTTCCGATAGCAATAATACATTGGTCTGAAATTTAAAATACCAATTCAGCAATACCATCCATCCATCCCTGACCTAGAGAATTCTCATATTTTTAATATTAATTACACACATACCGCGTTAATACTATGCACACCGATAACACCCTATATAATGTGTGAGGCAATTAAACATATCCAAGTTCCATGGCCGATTCTCTCTAACCCTTTTTCATCCTGCGCCACTTTATCACCGTTTCTTGTTCAATGTGAACACTATATAATATTCTCCCGGTTTTCACCACACGTATTTTCATTGTGCAACGCGACTGTGCTCTTTCTACAGTACCAAAGATCGAGATCATGGGCGAGTCGGACATCCACGTGATGGAGGGCAGCTCAGTGAGCCTGAAGTGCGTGATTCGGCAGAGCGTGCGGGACCCGGACTACATATTCTGGTACCAGAATAACAAGAGAGTGCTGGACTACGGCAAAGGCGCAAAGGTGATCAGCAGCGAGCGGTTAGATGCCAACACGATGGTGGCCACGTTGACCATCAACAACGCGGTGTTGCACGATTCGGGCAACTACACGTGTCAACCATCCAACTTGGACTCGGCCAGCGCGTACTTGCACGTCTTGAACGGTACGTATTACGCTTAGGGACGGACATAAGATTCCTAAGATCTGCATTTTCCAAATATCCCGGATATTCAAATTAGGATTTTCCGAATATCCCGGATATTCAAATCCGGATTTACCGGAGTATCCGGATTATTTGGATTCATGGATTTTATTTTTGTGTGATATATAATTACTATCAATTTCTAGTTAGTGAATTATTTTATTATAATTAAAATTTAACGACAAATTTTAAAAATATTATAAATTACAGTTAATATTGTATACAGTATTATCCAGTATTATCATGACTTAATGTTTCTTATAATTTATAATTAGTCACCAAAATAAGAAGTTATTTTAAATTGTTCAGTTTATTTTATACCTCTATGACTTGCAGTGATATCATGATACGAATATACAGTTAACTTATCTTAACTGCATAACCTTAATTAAATCTATGTGAATATTAAAATGTGTCATTTAACACAAAAGGTAATAGAACAATTCGGATAATCCATGAAATTCGATTGTGACCACCACTAATATCACGGCATGTTAGAGTCAATTTACCGATTGTGTACAGTTTCGATATCAAAATTTATATACAATTTCCATTATGTTACCGTTGGTATTTTTCGACCATTGTATGGAATATTTTTCAATAATCACTTTGATACTGTTGAACACCAAGCACCGTTAACTGACAGTAATTCTTGGTATGTTTCTCTGTAAGCGTTTAATTGTTATACATATAAATATTATAAATTTGTACAAGTGAAGCTGTAGGAGATGCGCCATTTTATTATCAGATAAACTTAAATAAATGTTAATAAATTACGACTACTAGTTCAGTATTTTTCTAGTTTTTATTTTATTTTTCAAGATTTTTATTTTTTTCGTATTTTAAAAAAAATAAAATCTAAAACATTTCCACATAAAAAAAGATATTCAAGTAATGCATTTTTTGTAGGTATTGAATTATTTCAAATTTTAAATAAAAATTGTATTTATACGCATAAATCTAATAAAAAGACAAACGTTAAGAAAATCATAGTGTGTTTTAATAGATTCTCAGATTAGCAACGAACGTATTGTGTATGACTACGAAAATTCTTAGTTCGGTATTATATGTATTCTGACGAGGTGAAATGATTTCTTTTATTGGCACCTCATGTCAATAACTAAAATAGTTGTAAAAAAAAAAAACTAATAATTGGCACATGAATTTTAATTAATATCAAACACTGTAAATAATGTAATTTAATTAATTTATAGTTAAAAATGTTCTTCTGAATTAAAAATAACACAACATTACAATAAAACACCATTTTCAAACGTATTAAACCCTATTTTCACGATATTAATTATAACAAAATCTATTAATTTCATACTTGTTTCGTCTATGTTCAAAGCGTTCTTCTTATCTTTTCAAATTGTTATTCAATCGGTATAGATAAAATGTTGATAATTTTTGGAGTGAAAACTTATCAATATGACCAAATATTAAAAAAAAAAATCTCTTATAGGACCAACAAAACATTAAATATCAATAAAACAATTATGACATGCAAATAACTATATTAGTGCCAATAACTTCATACTTTACTCTAACTAATCCAGATCCGAAAAACTAAGTTTGCAAGAGCATTTCTTTTTTCGAATGTCAGCCCTAATCATCAGCTAATTACGCGTAAAAAATAAAAAACAAAAAAATTATAACATCATCAACAGAAAAACTTTACTGATTTCACCCGTTTAAATGTTTCACTAATTTCAGAGCAAGCGACACAGTAAACCTTGTTTATTTAATTTTTATTTTTTCTAGTCGAAATACATTTCAAGTAATTGTATTTTTACATTGAACGTTATGGCAAAACAAGCAAAAATAATATTATCGAACGTATTATAATGTCATCTTGATTCGTCACTGTTTTTCCGTTTGCTTGTAACTGCATTGGGGTCACGTATGTGTTAAAAAAAAAATATCTTGTCATATTGTACTCGAAATGTGCATACAAAACGATGACGTATCAACGATCGATACCGCATAAAAACTAATATACTAAAAGTACGATGTGGACGCACGTGCAAACACCGACAATATTGATCGGATAACGAAAAGCAAGTGATCCGTTTTGAAGCAATTATATTATTATTAAATAGTTTTCTTGATCCATCGTTACGTTATCGTTTCGTATAAGCAATATATCTGAGTATGGCGGCACGTTAATGGATTTCGGGACGGTATATTTTACATGATTATCAGTATTCGGCGTGGTATATCAAAAACGTGGTCATACCTGCCTTTATAATCGCCTATAGCGACTAGCATCGATGATAATATTAATAACTCATTATTAAATTCAGTGCTCTCCTGTAAGACCACTAATGAAGATAGATATATGTGATCGTGTAATGATAATGATATTGAGTGATACGCAATAATGTGCAATAAGATCATGTGCGCTTGGTAACATGTGCAGACATATGTCTTAAGAGCGACGACTGCCGAAATCTGTAAAAACAGATTTATGAAACACACGTGGTACTGAAATTAATATATAATAAATCAGGTGTAAATACACACTCTTCGCACACAAATGTATCGTATTATTTACAAGAAAAAAAATGCGTGCTTTTGTTTACACAATATTTGCAAGACTAAAATTCAGGGTACATTTTATTTGTTTCCTCTTGTTTATATGAATCGTAAATTTTCGAAACGTCTCTCATTCTATGAATAAGTCAACATTAATTCCTGCTGCTTCGATGATTTACAATAAATACCGTCTTTCAAAAAATGTGTGATCGTTCAACACAAATTTTTTTTAAAAATGTTTAAATTTTGTATACAAAATACTACCTATCCCACAACAGTATTATGACATAAAATTGTTTTCAAAATTTATCTAAATAAATTATCAATGTTTTATCTACCATTATAATCAATTGAAAACATAAATAGCAGCAATAGCCAGTGGAATCGATATTAAATCTTTAGAGGAGCGGGAGTCTTATAAAAATCTTGTGACGAAGGACGACAATCAAAAAGTTATGACTAAACGCAGCTGACCCCCATCCCCAAAATAAACAATTACCTTTTATCCGTTAAATACGGCGCATTCTATAGGCAATCTTGATGCAATTACGTAATAGTAGCTTTCGAGCGGTATCTCGCCATCGGTATCGTATAGATACAAAAATATTGGCAACCGTGAAAATAAAATAAACGCAATTTATAACAGTAAATAGTGATGGATCGTACCGAACCGAACACTAGGTATGCGGTTCAGTTCGTAATCCGAACTCAAAATGAAAGAAAATCGAACCGAACTATTTATCATTTAGGTATGTTCGACATTTTAACTTGAAAACTCTTAATCAAACAATCTAAAATTAAATTTCTATATTTCATAGTAAGTATCTTAGTAGTATTAACTATTTTTTTTTTATATTATTACGATTAGATATGCTAAAATAAAATAATTCCATGTTGAAGCATGTGGTTATTTTTGTAAATATCTCTAAGTAATATTATTACAGATTTTTCTTCTTATGACGTGAGGTATTATGATGAAAACCACAAATCTATTTTTGGAACAGTGAAAAGGAAAAATATAAATGTTATTTGTACTCAATATTTTTAAAAATGTTATCATAAATAATAGTATTGGATGTTAATAAATAATCATTATAATTTATTATATATTGTAGGGTGTATTCAATTTTGTAAAATGCATTTTCAAATTATGATAATGAATATAATAATGAAGGGGAAAAAAATTATAAGTTTAGAGTTTAGTTCAATAAAAAATTTTTACAGATCTGTTTGGTTTGTCTGAATAATTATAAGTTCAATTTGGGTTCGTAATACTTTGACAATGTTCGGTTAGATTAGGTTTGAGACCAAAAAATCAGATTCGACCCATCACTAAAAAAAAATATTATTAAAATGTGCTCTGGACGAGCAACGTAGATAATATTCATCAAGTCCGGTAAACGTAGATATCAGAGATATCAATAATGTTGTTTTCGAATAAAGATGATGACAAAGCGAATCGAATAAAATATTTTTTCGGTAATGTAGTACATCGAGTTTTCAATAATAATATTATAATAACATATTTTTTTTAATAACAAATTTATTTTAAGAATCTGAAACACATATCAAAACAATTGATTACTATTGAATGTTCTACTACCTTCTGTAAACGCGTATTTACAAATAGTGCACATAAATTCGATTAATAGTAATAAAATAAAAGTGTAGACATTTCGTATAAAATAAGTCAAATACGAGTAAATAGTGGTTTATGAGAAAAACTCAGGATTTAAAAAACTTGACATCCCACTAGTCTCACTATGTGCATCGCATAATCACCGTATAGGTTATATTATTATATAAAATCATATTGTGTTAATTTTTCGGTACATCGGGTATAGTACAAATACGGTTTTCTTTACGAAAGGCAATATTTAGCAATTTACATACCAATATATTATTTTATAAATATACATTATGCAACATTATGTGTTAATTAAATCTGGGGTATTTATTAAAATAGGGTAGCATTATAAGAACTGTCGTCAAATACATTTCCATATTATAACGCGGGTGTGATAGATAATAGAATATGAGATGCGAGTAGACTGACTACGCCAAACAAATACGACAATAATTAAATATTATATTGTTCACAGGCAATGAAAATTCAAAAAAAATTTTCCCTTTTTCTCTCTTTCTCTCTCTCTTTATATTTTGATGTTTATTTTAGTTATCTCTTTTCAAATTTATCACCTCGAATAGTGAATTTCTTCACTAAATCTGCAGTCCAGACCACTATGACCCAACTATACGTTCTAATATTATATTTATTTCATTTTCGTTATTTACGCACAGTTTATTATTTTTTTCTTATCGCCATGATATTTCAACAAAACCGTTTTGCTAATCAATACAATGTTATATAATTATGATTTGTGTCGAATTAATGTAAAATGTAGTAAAAATACAACTTCGTGTACTTTAATTAAAAAAACAGTTTTACATTTGTAAATCTGTTTATTTGGCAAATAATATACATTCGATCGCGTTCATTTAAATTAACTTTATAATCGTTTTGCATCAACGTCACAAAATAACAAGCAAAACTGCTATATATTATTGGTTTGGCGTAGATAAAAAATATAATGAATGTAATATAGTTGATTCATCAGTGTGGAAATTTTTAACTTTATCGCATAGCTTTTTATACCCATTTTATTATATAATAATGCAAAATTGCCGATTCATCGGATATTCCAATGTGTAAACACGAAAAATTATTAACATTGTACCATATCTATGTTACCAATACAACTTAAACATAGGAAATAATTATAATAACGTATTGTATTAAAAATAATTCCCCAGAACTTATTAATATTCATACTGCACACTACTACGGAACACTACGCGTACATAGTACTTTTAAAAGTTCACTTGAAAATATCAACTGAGGGCTTATTGGCTTATTCTTACATTTTACAAGCAATAATCACTGCAAAATATTGTACACGATGTGCTTTGATCTAAAACTGAAAATAATAAAATATAATTTCCAATCGCTCATAAACGGTTAAAATCTAATGGTTCGTTTTTAAAAGTTGACGCAAACAATTCGATTTGTATATCTTCAGGAAATTAACCCATAATGTAAAAAATCGTATCCCCCTACTGTCCTGTCTGTCTGTACATAAAAATTAATATAGAAAAATCTTAGATTAATATTTTTCATACAATTCAAGAAAAGATGATTCCGTGGTTTCATATTTTCTACAAAAATACTATAATTTAATATTAAAATCAAAATGAGAATATTCATTTCGAAATGTTGGTAAGAATGAAGCACTACCTTTACCATAATAATATCGAGGGGAAAAGAGCAGAGTTTATGGGACTTTAAACTTTGTTTCTATTTATTAAAAACAAATAACGTTATATTTGTATTAAAAAAAACTAAACGATAATGTTAAGTTTTCAACAATGAATTATTAAATTAATACCTAAACAAAAGTATAATCGGCGTATGCTCGCAGACGACGAACAAACATCTACCGGTTGACTCGGCCAGCGCCGGCTTACACATATATGTATTTGTATTTAACAGCAAAACTATTATTAATATGGCTTTAAATTAGTCATCAGCAATGGCGTACAAACATTACATTTTATTATATGTTAGCCGGAACACATAGCATAATATAAACAAACACTCGATGAGTCAATAACAAACGCGCAACAACAATAAAATAACGTAACGTTTTCTCGTATAGGTATTTTCTTTTTATATTTTCTGATGTACATACCAAGGCACTCTCACTGCACATCGATATATCGTTCCATACTCTATCTACATGTGGTCGGTCCGACAACATTGTTTTAAAATAGCGTCCGAATGTAGTCGAAAGCGATTGCAGCCAACGGTCGATAAGCCTGTAATTCATCGGACGCAGCCACCTGTAGTAAAATACTGTAATCGGATAAACGAGACTATGTCCTAATCCTGCTGTACATGTTTTTCAAGAAAATTTAGGGACCCTGATTATGGTACACACTAGTGATAACTATCGTGTAACGATAACAAAAAAGCTCCCGGCGATAACATATAAACCTGCAACCAACATGATGCATGTTGAACTAAGTCAAGTTAGGTTACGATGTGTATACTGCGAGAGACTAGATGAATTCCAGAACTAAAAAAAAATATATGCAATTAAGTTGCAACGAAAAAATGTGACCGTAGACCTTAAAAAAAAGATAAATTATTGTAAAAGTTTAGTTCCTTGGAAATAAATTGTAATCAAGTCGAGTCTTCCATAAAAGTACTAAAAAATGTTCCTTCCCGTTTACAATAACTGGGACGATATATTGCTAACATGGATACACACAGTAAACGTCCAAATTTGTCGGAAACAAGAATTCGCCTCAAAACATTTTTAATTAAGATAAATAAATAAACAAAGATGGTGTTAACGTTTGAGAACATAAAAATGTTTGCAAAATTATTGCTAAAAGTGATTAACTTGCTAAAAGTTTTAATTTAAAAAACAATTGTTAGGTAAACAAAATTAAGTACATACTTCAAAATTTGAAATTCAAATGTATAAGTTAAATGCAATTTTTATTAATACTGTAGATACATACATTACCATTGTCGAGGGACAACAGCGATTTAACGCAATTTTCATATTTTTTGCTTCAGGTGAACATCCTGCTGCCATACAGCGAGGACATAGTTCCGGTACACAAATACCCATCCGCCTATTAGGACCCCTGTCAGCCGTATTGGGACTCAGTTCCAGTCATTCGACGAGGGCCGCTCTGTTAACGACCGCGTTTGCCGTCGATCTGGTCATCCGGGTCCTCTTCTCGATGATTGTCTAAATGATATCGTCGGAACCCGCCGTTGCCGCCACTGGATCAGAACCAGGATCAGGAAGGAAAACGTCTCCCACAACCACGGTGTGACCGATCCTTCAGGAGACTTGCACCGAATGTAGCAATCCAGAAAAGTCACGAAACCCGTATAACCGTCTTCTCTCGTCACCATGATCTGTCACAATCCATTTCAAACACCTCGCTAGTCCACAAAATGCTCGTTAAATACATATTTAATGATAATAAAAATAATAATAATAGCCAAAAAAAACGACCATTGCGATTAGCCAGAGTGCAATCACCTAATATTAAAATATTATGTTATCAATTTTTACCATATTGCCAAAATACGTTCCTTCGCGTGTGCCGTGTCGGAATTTTCTGATAAATCTAAACAACTATATCAATAGAGTTGATATTATTATTATTAGGACGACGAGAACGATGATACTATAACATTTACTATCGTTGGTATACTCAATGAACGCACGTGTGTTTCGTCGATTGGTGGTGACGGCACGATATTTGTTTTTAAACGTGTACAGTTTTTTTATGTGTATTTACTATTTATTATTAATATATAAAAGAGCATATATAAATATACTTGAGTGTGTTTTTGTGTGTAATGTAAATTAATTAAGAAAAATAATTTAAAAAAAATACTGAATAGATAAACGTAAAAATAACGATTAAAAATTAATGTTTTTAAATTTTATTACATCGTAATAATATATGCATATAAATACGTATAGTGTTATGCAGCCAGTTCACCATCACCGTGTCATAATTGTATGAATTAATTACTATATTGTAATGTACTATGTATCGTTTTATCAAAAATACTTATATTGTATTTAAACATAATAATATTACCGTCGAAATAATATGTATGTAGTTAAGTTTATTTTAATTTTCGATATCCTCAAGATTCAAAAAAATGAAACGTGAATACTATTTTTTTGTGGTTATATTTTCCAATACTCTTTGAACGTTTTCAATTCTGCAGTAAAGAATAATAATATATTCATATACCTAAAATCACTAATAATTTATACATATAACCCCATAGTCTATTATAATTATTAACACTAAACTATTTTGTTCTAAATGTTGTTATTGTTTTTATTATTATTATTATTATTATTATTATTATTATTATGTATAGTATAAAATTACGCTATAAAAATTATATTACTTACGGTTGAAATTTATGTACAGCACGTGTATACTAATTTTTAAACATTCTTTTATTCTAGTCTATGATGATTATATATTATAATATATTGATATAAAATATATATATATATAATAACTATACTAATGGTGCGCTGTTTATGTAAATTATAATGCTACAAAATCAAATATGAACAAGACTATAGTTTTTGTTTTGCATTCGGTACAATACATTTATATGTAATTCTATATTACAACATTAAATCTAATTTATAACTCATGTAAATTAATATTGTTTTAGCCTTTTTTTCAATTATTGTCATTTAAGTCTCAAAATGATACCATATTATTATTATTATTATTATTATTATTATAAACCGTAAAATATTGTGTTCTGTTTTTCGTCTACATTTTACAATATTATTATTGTGTTTACCATACTTGTACAATGATTGACATGTTATGTTTCGCATATATTATTATTATTATTATTTGGATGAAAACTTTGAATATTATATGTTATTATTTTTATTTGAATTGTTAATTTTTCTGATACTATAAAACAACCAAAAATAAAAATTAGTCAATAATATATACTAAAATTGTTCGGAAAAAAAATATATATTATTTATATATATATATAATTTATACATTTTAGATAAGGAAAACAATGTGTACCGTGTTAAACTAACCTTTAATTTATTGTAATAAATGTTATATGAAATTATGCAAGCTCTATGTGTAACAATGGTTTGTTCAACATGTGTTGCGACGTGTATGGGTAAATGCCGCCCAAAAATACACGTCACACACATTGGTATTCATAATTCGTACGAACACTGCAACGGCAGCGGCAGCAGTATATGCAATTTAGCAAACATTCGTTGGGATTTAGATTAAGTAATGATTATTTCACACACGAGCTTGTCGTCTCGGTTTAATCTCACGGGTATAATTAAGTTAACTACGACCGCTTCTCCAAACGATAAATATGGAAATTACCGTAACACTAAAGCGCTAATGTTTCGACAAAACAGCTTAATTTTAATATGTAAATCGAGTAAAAATATTTTAACTCTGTATCCACCCCAATACTTGCTGCTCCACCACCGGACTGTCTCTACGCGTGTGTTCCGATAAGAGGAGGACGCACGCGTTACACCAGTCGAGCGCGTGTGCCGCGAACCACCCCCTCCCCATATTAATATGCGTTAAAGGACGTGTTTTTCTTTTTCCTTTTTTTCTTGTCGACAGGACCGTAAATAATTTATACGCGTATTCCGCTGTTGACGTCCGCGACCACGCGGAAAAACGTACGCTACGTTCCAACGACGTTCCCTATGAATTTAATATTTAATTATAGCACGTGTACACCACACCTTCGATTCATCACAGTTAAGGGCTTTATAAAATGATGAAAACTCCGGACGTTTGCATTTCCCATTTGTTATAAGTCACCAACGAAAAACCTACACCGAATGGCTCAAGAACTCATTAATTATAACAACACGCATCAGATGCGCATGCAAAATGCTCTGAAGATTGTTAACATGAATATTGCTTATTCATTTTAAAACCACAATGATTAATATGTTGATAAGCTTAAAATCTTACCATTCAACGATACTTTCAAACGTTAAAATTTAAATTCGAAAATTCGTTTTTCATGCGGAAAAAAAATTATATTTCCTATTTACCTAGTAGGTAAGATGTAATTCGAGTGAAATGCTGATTTTTATGAGAAAAATACAAAATACCAATTATAAACTGGTGATTCTTTAAATGAGTGAAAAATAATTAACAATTTCCTTTCGCTAATTTATAAGCTATGAAAAAGTTCCCACCCATTTATAAAGAATTGGTATTAATTTGTTATTTCAAACTATTTTCAGAGTCAGTAAGTTACGACAATTAGTTATAAATTACATTTTAAACACAATTAGATAAAAGTAAATTACTTACTTCATTGTTTACACGTGAACATTAAAGATGAATTTTATTTGGGACAAGTTTTTCGTTTTATAGAAATGAGAAGAAGTTTATTTTGTATTATTCATAGAACGTAGGTAACTAAATGAAATCCTTTAAATAGTAAACGAACAAGGGATTGAACAAACTCGTAAATAAAAAGAACGTTTACAGTACTGCGACGGCACAATATCACAATTAGAATAAATTTTGACCAAATTTCTTGGCGTGCATTAAATAAAAGCAAAAATAATTTCGTACTTTATGGTCTGGCCATCCATAACGTGTTATTACGTTGAAGTTCATTCAATATGGTAAAATTTAAAAAACATTTAGGTTATATGAATAAGCTTACGAAGAAATTTTTATTTGAATTTTTTAACGTTTCCTCGTCGTCGACGACGTAGCGGATTCGACGTACCTATTGACACACAGAAAACGTGACACGGAAGCAACACGGACCATGGGACGAGTTCGATAAAAGTTCATAACCAATGTTGAACTTCCGCTAAAACTGTGTGGGTGACAGCATATTCAGGTCAGTTGGTACAACTTTGAATATTGAAAAGAAAAAACTGTTTCATTTCTCGGGTATTGAAAAATAAGTGTGTCTCGAACCGATAATATATAACAGCGCGGCGGTGGTGGTTGTGTTTCGATTTTGTTCCGCTTGTCATAATTTATTGGAAAAGTTTCGGTTGACGTCTCTTGCCGTGTCACCGTTCGAAAATGAGCCAGCAACATTTTGTACTTTTTTTTTTTACTTTTTTACCCCGCAGAAGACACCGGCTGCTTCTGCTGCTTCAACCACTGCAAAATTATATGTGTATATTATTATTATTATTTTTTTTTTTTATAAACCCTTCCCAAAAACTATCAAAGTTGTTTTTATTTTTATTTTTTTCCGCGCTCAATGAACCTTATTCCTTCGATACTACTAACATTAAAAATCTTTTCCCGGATCAACAGAAAAAAAAAAAAAATTGGAATTTACTTTAACTGTAATCATGCGCTTTCCATACCAATTGTGATGTGAACAATTTTAATACTAATAACACAGATTATTTTTCACGTTTCACTGTTTAAGAGGCATTCGCTCGATAGTTCATACTTAACACCGACCTTCACTCAAAATGTTATATCAAATGAGATGAGATATCCATCATGTATGTCTCATCAGCCCACCACATATCGAAACTGATTATTCTCTCGTATGTAACCTTTAGTATGTCATTTGTATGTATTTGTATGTATTTGTATGACCGTTCCCGCCATTTGTATGACAATTGAATTCGAGTTACATCAAAAATAGAAGGGGCGGGCTGACAAGATGTCACACCAACATTCCTACTCCTCAAATTCAAAAATTCACTACGCCATTTGTATGAATTATTTCAATCCTTAATTTTCAAAACTACCCTTGGGCGGACTAAACTACTAAAAGTTTACAAAGAAAAATTGTTAGGATACGTTTAAGTAAAAACACGTTAATTGGTTCGACTAAAGAAAACTTTAAGTTATTAGATGTTTTACCTTTTGAGTCTGTATACAAGAAAATAATTATTGCGTATATAATTAAAAACTTTGAATCCTATCTGGATATGAAAAAGGTAATAGTTCCTAACCTAACCATTTGATGTTAGAATGGAATATTCTAAAAAAAGCGTTTGGTCATAAATGTGAAAAAAAATAAATTCCGATTAGGTTATTTTCAATACTTGACTAAATAATAAGAAATTAATTTTTTTCACATTTATGACCAAACGCTTTTTTAGAATATTCCATTCTAACATAAAATGCTCTATTTTCTTTTCTATCTATTACCTTTTTTATATCCAGATAGGATTTAAAAGTTTTTAATTATATACGCAATAATTATTTTCTTGTATACAGACTTAAAAGGTAAAACATCTAATAACTTAAAGTTTTCTTTAGTCGAACCAATTAACGTGTTTTTACTTAAATGTATCCTAACAATTTTTCTTTGTAAACGTTTAGTGGTTTAGTCCACCCAAGGGTAGTTTTGAAAATTAAGAGTTGAAATAAATCATACAAATCCTTACAAATGGCGTAGTGAATTTTTGAATTTTAAGGGTAGGTAGGCTGGTATGACATCTCGCTAGCCCACCCCTTCTATTTTTGATATAAATCGAATTCAATTGGCATAAAAATAGCGGGAATGGTCATACAAATACATATAAATTATGTACTAAAGGTTACATACCAGAGAATAATCAATTTCGATATGGAGTGGGCTGGTGAAACGTACGTATTTCCATCGCCTATAAATAAGTATAGTGTACACATCTAACAAATATTACAAACATTTTTCAATGGTGTACATACGAATCATCTTTCGAAATATATTTTCTGGACAGCTTTTTATCTAAGTTATTTTTACTGTAATTGTCGTTTATTTCTTCGAAAAAATAATGCGCGCCGCTAAACAGGTT